CAATATGAAGGCGTGGTCATCAACAAGGTCATCATGGACCCTTTCAAAAATTCATGTATCAGCTACTTTTCGCATATCACCTCGTTTCATTGAAGTAAAAGTTTTGCTCATAGTTTTTTCTCTTAATTATTCATTATCTTGCCCACCGTTAGAGTTAGTTCTAGATCTGTGGACGTCTTCTCACCTTCGTTATGTTATCTCGCTTACCGTTAGTTATGCATTGACAAGATTTTGACATTACCTTCATCTTTGTCGTAATGTCGTTTTCTGAGAGCGCTTAAATCTATTCAGTAATTCAGCGCTGCCATGTCTATTCGATTGCTTTTTCGTCGGCTGAGCGTTTTGATGGAAAGCCATGCCGTAACATACGAATTTATTCAGTTAATCATCAGGAAGCTGGCTCGTAGTAGGCGTTGCGGACACTGTCGGTAAGTTATTTGGTTTCATTTTTTCGTGTGTCGTGTGTCTACCTTCTAAACGACATTTAGACGCCGTATCTGTCCGCATATGCTGTCATTGTTTCTGCTATTCACAGAAGAACTTGAGAAGAGACGGCGAAAACTCTATATGAACGTTACTCATGTCACGCAAGTGAACATGAGATTTGTGGCCTTCGATGGATAAAAGGCTAACGGAGATGAGGAACTTTTTCACGAATACACACGTTTGACCTTCAGCGAATTTGAAAGCCTTCACAATCGCCTCAAGGATCGACTTCAGCATTTACGTTCACATCGATACCCGATTGATACAATTCACCGTCTTGCCATTTGTCTAAGGTTGTAAGCTATTTCCTCTGTTGTGAACTCATAGATGAACTTACAGATATCTCGGCCATGGTAGGAGCTTTCATGCCCTCGGGCATGAATTTCGTCTGGGCCGCTCTACCGTCACTGCAATAGTGTACGAAGTCTGTCGAGCAATCCTAGCAGGTATCCATTTCTCCCTTGGAATAGAATTCTATGAAACTTGCTCTTTTAGAGTTCCGGCACGAAGCGCTCCCATTGCCGACACCAGAGACGTGGAAAGAGAGTGCTGACGGTTTTCAAAATCTATGGAATTATCCTAGAGGCATTGCGGCCATTGATGGAAAACACTTCCGTTGTATCGTGAGTATACTTGTTTGTTTGCCAACACTTTATCTGTTAAAACGCTACCTAGGCCCCAATCAACAGCGGATCTAGCCATTTCAATTATAAAGGCTTTTTTTCCATCGTCCTGTTGCTGGTTGTGGACAGCAACTACAAGATTTTATTGCTTGATTGTGGAGGGAAGGGACGCATTTCTGACTCTGGTACAACATTTACAAGATTTGGAGCTTCCTGGGTTTTCAGTATTTTTTCCAGGGTTATTTCGTACTTCACCGATTCGGCGTTCTTTGGAGAACGCGAAAGCAAGTTTCCCACCATCCGCTCCCCTCGGTCGCCATGGCACAGTCGAGTACCACGTTCTGGCGGATGGCGGTTTTCCGCAAACTTCATGGATGCAACGTCCGTTCCAACAACAAGAAGCTTGCCGGGACGCGAAAAAAACTCATTTCAATGAATGCTTTAGTTCGTGAGTTTTTTTCATGCTGTGTTCCTCCACAAAAGCGTAATTGGGTTCTATTAAGGGCTCGCCGTGTCGTCGAAAGTGTATTTGGTATCATATGCTCTCGATTCCGAGTTTTTCAAGCGCCGTTACAAGGATGCCCTGAGAACATGAAACTAATCATAATCACGGCTTGTGTAGGTGACCTATAGCATTTGTTCAGTGTTTATGGAATTATTTAGGTACTGCACAATTTGCTGGCCAAATCACTCACACGCGACGAATTGTCAAGCAGGTACCCGCACAATGTTTTGGATGAGAACGAAGTTGCTCGTCCAAGTCGTGCACAAACGCAGGATGATGCACGCGCGCAAAGACGTCTTGTTGAGTACTTCGCAGAGCGCGATGGGTACGAGTAATTGGATCACCAGTTTTATTACCGCATGCAAATACGTGTATCTTTTGCACTACCTTTATTCTAAACATCTCATTTTTGTACGGAATCTTGTTCCCCCGCTCTTTTTGTAAACTGCAGTATTATCATCATCATAAATAGGTGAGACTTTGTGAAGACTGTGTTCTGGTTCAGCAATCTGATCGTTCCTTGTTTCTCGTCTGCTAGATACGCAATCCTGTAATGCAGATAGCTACAGAGTGAATCGTTTCGATATACTCATTTGGAGTGGTATCTGTGCATTCTTGATCTACTTTGACAGAAATCACGGGAGTTGTTCATGTCATTTCTTCCCAACAAACTTTCCAGTTTCGCTGAACCAGTGAGAATGATCATGTTGTTTGATAAAAGTTATGGCCAGAAAATCCTTCACTGTATAGATGCAACGAGCACAAGTTAGGGTAGTAAAGAGCATTGATAAATTATAGTTCAGAAAAGCTCATCACAGTTATGATTTCAGCAATACGATAAACATCGAAACGTATCACATGTTGTTCGCAAGCAATAGAAAACTCGTTATGTAACATAAATTATGAGACTGATATTTTATAGCTAAAAGGCACAAAACAAATCAACTCGAACTATCAGTGCAAGGAATGACCAGAGAAAAAAGGTAATCTTACAATCTCCTTTGCATATGGGAACGCACGAAGATTCGCTCTCCTATCGCTTTCGTGTGTGGTACCTTGCTAACGTAAGCATGTGCAGCTACAAAGCTGGATGATACAATTCTTGACCTATCCACTAGCAACTTGAAGCTTATGTATATTACTTTCACCTAAACATATGCCATATGTTCGCTTGAATCAGGCCTATATATTGACTCTACTTTGGCCCAACTATTGATAATAAGCTGGATGGGATTTGGCAACACGTAAATGAGAGGAATATGCTAAAGTCAATGACTCAATAGGATTTAAACCTTTGAAAAAACGCACAGACCATAACGGAGGATGATACACGCGATAATCTACAATTACACCATGTGTACGGATGGGTAACAGCACTTGCCCGCGAGTTTGGAGGCCCTATAAATATCTTGGTATAACAAACAAATATAACATGGTAATGCACAAAGCCAGCAAGGGGAAATACCTGATGATCGTAGCCATTCTTGTATTGCCATCAACTTTCGAGGCCGCTGGGATGTTTTGAAAGGAGTTTTGAGTATAAGTGTCACCAGATGGTATAGTTTTGCTTGACTAAAATCAAGGAAGTCAGTCGAATAGCATCATTAAAACAGTGTTTGAAAATTTCTCCAAAATACGTTTGATTTCAAAAATTCAGATATCAATGATACCATTGCTGTCGACCTAAATACGGTTTACAACCAGCCTTTGACCTAACCTAAGAATATGGTAGTGACATCTAAGTGTTGATACAGCGTTTTGAGTTCTTTGTTAACGAAAAACGGACTTAATATGTTGTTATTTTGATATCCCAGGCACAATATCTACAGGCATTCTTCCATGTTAAGTGATGCGCCAACACTGAACAGAAAAAAGCTCATAACTTGCTGCAGAGTGACGCGGTGTAGCTAGGGGTTGTTTCATACTGCTGCACAGACTGCAGCAGTC